ATGTAAGCATGCTTGAAAGAAAATGAATTACCATAAATTTTCACGAAGATAACCAACACGCATTCATGCTTAAAGGAAATTTCAAATAACATAGAAGATAATACAATTTTATTCTTTCATCTTTTTAGTCTTATCTATTTATTTGTACCAATCAAGTCGATAGAGTCAATACAAATTTAATCATGACGGATAAAGATTGCATACACATAGAAAAAACCCCAAGTTACCCCGACTCTTTTTGCTCGTCAGTAGTGAAACAAAATTCCAAGCAATAAGGCTCTCAGTGAGAGTTTACAAAATTACACAAATACCAAGTCAGATTATAATTTGAGCTATTCAAGTCTATCTTAATAAAACTACTCTAAGATTTTTTTTTCCTTCTAAAAGCTGTTTATGTTTTAAATCCACGCCACAGGCCCATAACTAAGTCTTCTTAAATTTTTTTTATCACAAATCGCTTACATATTATTGATTTCAAATATTATTTTAAAGCTGTCAAGAGACCTTTTAAATTCATAGTTATCCATAACTACCCATCGATTTCATACATATATTTGGTTCACACAATTTCCCATTATTTATTTATTTTAACCTATTATGCGAATATATATAATTCTCTATATAAATGATTTAAGGAAACAGTCAACTAAGAATTGAAAAGCTCCACCGATTCCTACCACTTATGCGTCCTTAATATAGATATATATATATATATATATATTTCCTTTAAGCCTTTATCCCATCTTTATCCCATCCTTTAAGCCTTAATCTCGTTAAACTTAAGCAAATAACCAACTTAAATAAAATCTATTAGAATCAATCGAAAGTTTTTTTTATATATATAATTATAAATATATATTTTATTAAAATTCATATAACAATTCAAATTTTGAATTTCAATCTATTTCATATTATTATTATTTATTTATCCTATTTAAATTGCTGTTCAAACTAACATCAAAGATATCAAGATGTTTGATTTATATATATATTTGTGTGTGCGCGCGTGTAAAAACCGTTTATGTGTGTGTGTGTGTGTGTGTGTATATATATATATATGTAAAACCGTTTTAACCTTTTTTTTATATAATTATTATGATTACATGTATTTTACCATAACTGCACGTAACAAACTTATCTTTTCCGATTTAATTCTTCTTCTTCTTTTTTTTTTTTGGATACCTTTTAAATAATAAAAGAAAATCTACACTCTCTAATTATTATACATATATATGTAATTCATATAATTCATACAATTACAAATAGAACAACATATCAAACAAACACAAGCATATAATTTAAACACAAACCTAAGAAAACAAATGGGGGTATTCTTGTTTCATCTTTTCTTCGGTTTCCCAAGTAGCATCACCTGAGGTCATTCCCCTCCATACAACCTTAACAATTCGAATGGTTTTGTTTCTTAATTGTTTATCCCTAGCATCTATGATTCTTTTTGGTTCAACGTTGTAGGTCATATTTTCCCGAATCTCTATCTCCCCGGGTTCAATGGTGTGGGAGGGGTCCGTATGATATTTCTTCAATTGTGATGCATGAAATATATTATGGACATTGGCTAAAAGAGGAGGTAAGGTGATTTGATAGGCTACCAGCCCAACTCTTTCGAGAATCTCATAGGGACCCATAAATCTGGGAGTCAACTTCTTAGCTTTAATTGATCTTCCAATGCCTATCATCGGTGTGACCCTTAAGAAAACATAGTCACCTACCATGAACTCCAACAGTCATCTCCGCCTATCAGCATAGCTTTTCTATCTACTCTGAACCATGTGTAGCTTCTGTTTAACTAACTTAAATTTCTGGGTGGTTTGATCTAGTAAATCAGGTCCCAATATGCTTCTCTAACTCAACTCTGTCCAGCAAAGGTGAGATCTACATTTCCTTCCATATAATGCTTTGTATGGTGCCATTTGGATGCTAGAATGAAAACTATTGTTATACACAAATTCGACAAGTGTAAGATGACTATCCCAGCTTCCTCTCAACTCAATTGCACAAGCTTGTAACATATCCTCAAGAGTTTGGATGGTTCTCTCAGACTGTCTGTCAGTTTGAGGGTGATAAGCTGTGCTAAAATTTAGCCGAGTCCCTAAAGAGTGATGCAATGATTTCCAAAATTGCGAAGTGAAACGTGGATCACGATCTGAGACAATACTCTCCGGTACCCCGTGCAACCTAACTATTTCATCCATATAAATTTGAGTGAGCTTATCCAATGGGTAGTTAGCCTTGATAAGTAGAAAATGAGCCGATTTAGTTAAACGATCCATGACTACCCAAATGGCATCATGCCCTGAAGGGGTTCTAGGTAAGCCCATGATGAAATCCATAGTAATGCTATCCCATTTCCACTTCAGAATGCCTAAGTTTTGTAATGGTCCTAGAGGTTTTTGATGTTCAATTTTGACCCGTTGACACGTTAAGCAGTGAGTGACAAAATCACTTACCTCCTTCTTCATTCCTGGCCACCACCAATCATTCTTCAAGTCATGATACATTTTAGTCGCCCCAGGATGGATGGTGTATTTACTCCTATAAGCCTCACCCAATGTAAGTGTCTTTAGCCTGTCATCATTAGGAAGGCATACTCTTCCTCTATACTGTAGGAGCCCATCATTGCCAACCTCAAAGTCTTCACCCCTTCCTTCCTCAACTTCTTCTCTAACTCTTAACAAAAATTCATCCTCTAGTTGTGTAAACTTAACTTCTTTCCATGTCACCATCTCTATTGTTAATGCTTCTATAGTAGCGCCCAACCCAAAGATCTTAATAGGGACATTTTGGGCATCTTCCAGTAGTCTCTACTTTCGAACCATCATTTGAACTGCATGGATAGACTTTCTACTTAGAGCATCTGCAACAACATTAGCTTTTCCAGGATGGTACTCCAACTCATAATCATAGTCTTTCAAAAATTCCATCCACCTTCTTTATCTCATGTTGAGTTCTTTTTGGTCAAACAGATATTTCAAACTTTTATGATCACTGAAGACTTCAAATCGTGAACTATAAAGATAGTGCCTCCAGATCTTTAGAGTGAATACCACTACTGCCAGTTCTAAGTCGTGTGTAGGATAATTCTCCTCATGTGGCCTTAGTTGTCTTGAGGCGTAAGCAATAACCTTACCATTTTGCATTAACACACACCCAAGACCCTTCTTTGAAGCATCTATGTAAAACGTGAATGGTTGCATGGGGTCAGGGATCACAAGCACAATGCTGTAGTCAATCTGGTCTTCAGTTCTTGGAATGCTACCTCACACTTTTTGGTCCAAAGAAATACATAATCCTTCTTTATCAGCTTCATTAAAGGCATGACTATATGTGAGAATCCCTTAATGAATCTTCTATAGTAACCTGCCAAACCTAGAAAACTCCTGATCTCGGTCACACTTTGTGGTCTTTCCTAATTCAATATTGCCTCAACCTTGTTAGGGTCTACAGACACCCCTTATGCCGACACAACATGTCCCAAAAACTTACCTTCCTTGAGCCAAAATTCACACGTAGATAGCTTCGCATAGAGCTTATGCTCCCTTAATACTTGTAGTATCGTTCTAAGGTGCCCCTTATGCTCTTTCTCGTCCTTAGAGTATATAATGATATCATCAATAAAAACCACTATAAATTTATCCAAATAGGGCCTAAAGATCCTGTTCATGTAATCCATAAAGACCGCTGGGGCATTAGTTAACCCAAATGGCATGACTAAGAACTCGTAGTGCCCATATTTAGTGCAAAATGCAGTTTTTGAGATATCTTCAGCTCGGACTCGTAACTGGTGGTAACCTGATCTCAAGTCGATCTTGGAGAAAACTACTACTCTGTTCAATTGGTCAAGTAAATCATCAATTCGTGGTAGAGGATATTTATTCTTTATAGTTACCTTGTTCAGTTGGCGATAATCGATACATAATCTCATGCTTCCATCTTTCTTCTTTACAAAAAGTACTAGTAATCCCCAAGGGGAAACACTGGGCCTTATAAAACCTTTCTCCATTAATTCTTCAATTTGCTTCTTTAACTCTGCTAATTTTGTTGGAGCCATCTGATAAGGAGCTTTAAAAATAGGCTCTGTTCCGGGCACAAGGTCAATTGCAAATTCTACTTCTCTTTTTAGGGGCAAACCTATAATATCCTTAGGAAACACATCAGGAAATTCACTTACTATCGCTATAACTTCAACTCCCTCTTCCACTTCAGTTTGAATAGAGAAGAATACCATATAAACCTCATATCCCTTTCGAATACATCTCTTAACTTGTGCAGATGATAACAGTTGTAGTCTACTAGAAAGATTCATAGAAGCTGGTAGGGAAACAATCTTCCTCTTACAGTCAAGGATGGCATGGTTTGCAGATAACCAATCCATTCCCACTATGAGATCAATACCCCATAAGGGTAGACAAACTAGATCGATAGGTGAACTTCTACCATCAAACTCAAGCATGCAATTTAATGTAGTCTGGGAGGTTCTTACAAAAGCTCCAGCCGGTGTAGAGACAATCATATCATAAGGCATTTTATAAACACAATTTTAATTGCAGCACATAATTATCAGATACAAATGAATGGGTTGCCCCAGAATCAAAAAGAGCTTCAATTTTAGAGCCTTGGAGTTTGAGAGTACCTTTTATGCGATTTGGTGCTCCATTCGCCTCTTGTTGGGTCATTGCAAACACCCTGCTTAGAACAATGTTTTGATTCTCATGAGCTCCTGATGAGTCAGTCTCATAAAATCTAGCAACATGGCCTGGCTTTCCGCACCTAAAGCATATTAAACACCTGCTTCCCGAATGCATCCTCCCACACTTGGCACACCTTTAGCTATTTGCTGTACTAGTGGTAGGAGAAAAAGGACCCTTGGCAGAATTTTGTCCTCCCATAAACTGGCTCCTTGAAGGTCCGTTATACTGATTCCTTGGAGGTCCATTGAACTGGTTTCTTGGAGGCCCATTGAACTAGCTCCTTGGAGGTTGTTAGGGTCGCTTACTTGATCCTCCAGCACTATAACTGTTCCTCTTACTGACACCCCCAGTAGGTCTCATGAAAGAGGCATACTTGCCTTGGGATTCCTTCCTCTTTTCTACTTCTTCTTCCCTTATCCTTCTAGCAGTGATGCGCAACTTAGTGCATAACTTTTCAAAGTCCTCTATCTCAAATGGTGCCAATGCTGTCCTCAATTCTGGCCTAGCTTTCTCCAGCAATCGCTCACACATCCATTTTGGATTATGGTACTCCTGAAGGTAAGTGCTATATTTAGACAGTTCCAAAAAGCGAGCAATGAACTCATCTTCATGCAGATTCTCTTGTTTAAAAGAATAAAATGTAGCCTGTCTCACAGCTCTAATAGCTGGAGGGAAATAATGTTGCATGAATTTATCTTTGAATTCTTCCCAAGTAATGTCTGCATCATCATCCAGTTTCATCTTATCCCACCACTGCTAGGCTGCCTTTTATAACAATTGCTCAGCTAGTCGCACCTTTTGATGGGAGGTGCATTGGACAATCCTGAAGATCTTTTCCACTCGCTTCACCCATTCCTCAGCTTCAGTTGGGTTGAGTTTTCCTTTAAATATTGGAGGGCTAAACTTTCAGAAACTCTCCCAAATTTGAGTGATCTTAGCAAGTTCAGGTTGGGAGAGCTTGTTAGTACTGTTGCCAGACTTATGCTTGGAGCCCCCGGCAGAATGGCGATCACTGGGTTCATCGATAAGAGGACTTTTTCCCTTGGTAGGGCTATTACTCCGTTCTTTCATTGCAGCTAGTTGTTCTTCATGCTTATTCAATATCTATCTAATGTTTTGGATTGCATCTCTTAATTCCCTCAAAATGACATCGTTGCCCTACGAATGATTTTGGGGAGGTGATGAAGGTGGGTTTGTGTTGGTTAGTCATATAGTTTGTCTAGTGTTCACCATTCTTCTCCCCTCCTATGTAAGGCTACCATACAAGTTAAAGTTAGCCAAAAGAAGAGAAATAATTAAAGTAATAGGATATACAAGGGGAAGGGAAGGGCACATGCTGATATCTACTTGCCATAACCTCTAACTAGATCTTAGTAGAAAATAGCAATAAAAATAAAAATAGAAAAGGCCATGGAACGTTGTGGCTCTGATACCAAAAATGTAACACCCAATTTTCTAAGCTACTTAAAATACCATGTAAAAACTACTTTGATCTTAAGGTCTCAATAATAAAGTTTATACTGAAAGACTCAGCCTTTTAACCACTACAAATAAATATGAGCAATTAAACCCATAATATAATTTGAGCATAAATATCCAAGCTTGCAGTCTCAAAGTCTAACATAACATAAACCATGGATAAAACTTGAAATTAAACGCTAAAATCTATCCATTCAAGGAATTAACAAAATAATGATTTGATGTTCTAGGGTCATGGCAAATAGTAAAGAATCAAATTAATTCAGCATGTACTTGAGAAGCGTAAGAGCTACTAGCTCACTCCTCTAGTACCTTCTCTTGCTCCCTATAAGGATTGTCACCTGGAAAATGTTAAATAATTGGGGTGAGCACAGACGTCTCAGTAACCCAGAGTTCAACCATGTAGATACAACCATTACCCAAACATATTCATATTAGCTAGGCAAACAGATATTGCAACAGCTTAAATAATCATTAGCAAAATATGTAACTAATTTAATAATATACCATGTTCATATGCAATGGATGCTTCCTCCCTTATTGCTCCATCCAACCTTATTTCGCTGACTGGAACCATAGGCTTATACATGTAACATCCAAACGTTTTGGGCCTAAAAGTACTAGAAATAGCCTGAATTGGATAGGCTACCAGACCCTTTTTGAGCAAAAGTCCCAAAGATGAGAAAGGAAGTCAAAGCAGCTTTAGGGACTAAATTGCAAAGTAAAAGTTTCAAGGGCTCAAGTATAATCAAGGCTAGAGGCTCTAGTAAAGTCTCGAAGGCCCAAAGAGAAAAGAGGCTAGATACAGGCCAAAGGTTAAGTTAGAAACCTCAAAGAGAGGATTATATGAAGCTAAGTCCAAGCAGGGACTAAACCATAAATTCAGAAAGTTGTGACCAATAGAGGTAAAAAATAGAAGAGTATACAGAGAATTCCAAGAAAATTCTAAAAAATGGAAAATAATATTCTAAGACTCTTCTGTTAAGAGAAATGATGAAAATACCCCTGAGACAGCTTAAATGGAATTTATAAGGTTTTGGCTAGTGAAAAGTACATTGTTTGAGGTAATTATTTAAAATAGTAAGAGACCTCAAAAATATACACAAAAATGAGATTAAATGTTTGAAATATTGTATTAATTTATAAAATTAGTCTCGCAACCAAAAAGCCAGTGGAGTGGCTTTAATAAATTAAAAAGCCGATTGTGACCGATAAAAGGGTATTTTAGTAAATGAATTTTTATGCAAGGCTTAAAGGAAGTGTTATGGCCTAAGAAAATTTATAGATACTCTATAGAATTAAAGGGAATTTATGGAGTAGACAGAAGAATTTTCTGAGCTCCGAAAGGCCATAAAGAAAGTCAGAGAAACGTGGGCCAAGTAAATTCGGAGGAAACTTAAGGATTAAGTTTTGATCCAACGGCTACGATCTAATCTCCCTTCTCCTCTGCCACATTTGTGACACTTGGCATCTTCTAGAAGAGTGAGGTAAGGATGATGCAAGAAGGTGATGCAATGATGATGTAAAAGTCAACTTAAAGTTCTAAGATTGCCCTTACCCTTTCTATCAGCCACTAAGGGCATTTTAGTCCATTCAAGCCAAAGTTTTGGCTATAAATACCCCACCTTGGAAGAGCATTTTGGCAGCCATTTTAGAGAAAAAAACTCTTCCAAAATTAGAGAGAAAAATGTAGGGGTGAAGGCCAAGAAGAAGGAACAAGATTTAAGCTTCAAGATCAAGGTATGTGATGGTTATAGCATCTGACTTGATGCCTATTTTGACTAAGTTACTCTTTGTATCTGATTCTGAAATTTGGCATGCTTAAATTAAACTCTGTAAGCTTTAAATCCATGGGTAGAACACTTTATTTGGATATGTGTAGTACGATTTATGGTGATTTTTAATTTAAATATAACTTAAGGAGCTTTCAGTGAGACTTGGAACCACTCAATTTTGATTTGTTTAGAATTAATTATGAATTTTCAAAGTTGAGCAAAAATTCTAGAATTTCTGCATGAACAGTACAGTGAAGCAAAATTTTCAAATTTGATCTTCTTGAATCTAAGGCCATCTAAAGTGGTCCTAATTGACAAGAAATGGATCTTAAAGATGATAAATGATGAGATTTATGTTAGAAAAGTCAGAAAGAAAACCCTAAAACCAAGAGAAAGGGTTGAGGTTCAAGAGAGCTAGTCTTGAATATTATGTAGTCTCTTGATCCTAATGGATTGTATGATTAATGTGACTATGTTTAGGACCTTGAAACATCCAAGAGGATGTTTAGTGATGTTGACCGTATGCCCACATGGTTGAAAAGTCAAGGGAGTCAAATGAAAAGTAAGAGGAAAGCTTGAGGTGTAAGGTAGTGAACTTACCTATTGTCATTGCTTGATGTTGTATGCTTGTGTGTTGCTGTACATGATGTTTGAATGTTGTTGTCACATGTATTGGCTGCTGTAAATGCTATTTATGATGAGTAGATTATGTCTCCATGGCGATGCATCAAGAAGGTAGCTTTAAGCATGCTAATATATCACTAACTAACAAGAGAATAAATAAGTTACGTGTAGTGCATTAGCATCCATCTAGCATGATTAATATGGTATTGTTTGCTACTGAGATTCCCCCGAATCTCACCCCTCCCTAACCAACCATTTAGGACGATGGTGATAAGAAGGCCTACAGTGGACTAAGGAGAAAGGACGAAAAGAATGAGGTAAAGAAGAATTATGAAAAAGGTAATATAAAAAGAGAAGAGAAACAAGAATGGAAAAGTTTACCTTGAATCTATTTTGATTTATGGAGATGGAATGTTTAAAGTAGAAGTAGGAGTAACGCTTTCTGAAAACCACAAGTCAACGGTAGTGGAAAAGCTAAAGAAGAAACTGAGTGGCGACTAAGAGATAAAGAATGAGTAAGTAGGAAGTAGGGTTGCATTATTATATTTTTAAAATTAATAAATCTTCATTTAATTAATTAATTAATTTTTTTACCTTATTGATATTATTATTGAAATCTCATTAAACTTAAGCAGATAACCGACTTAAATGAAATCTACTAGAATCAATCGAAAGTTTTTTTTTATATATATAATTATAAATATATATTTTATTAAAATTCATATAACATATTCAAATTTCGAATTTCAATTATTTCATATTATTATTATTATTTAGTTTTCCTATTTAAATTGCTGTTCAAACTAACATCAAAGATATCAAGATGTTTGACTTATATATATGTGTGTGCGCGCGCGCACGTGCGCGTGTAAAAAACCGTTTATATATATGTGTGTGTGTGTAAAACGGTTTTAATTTTTTTTTTTATAATTATTATGATTATATGTATTTTACCATAACTACACGTAACAAACTTATCTTTTCCAATTTAATTCTTCTTCTCTTCTTCTTTTTATACCTTTTAAATAATAAAAGAAATCTATACTTTCTAATTATTTACATATATATATATATGTAATTCATATATATATATGAACAAACTAACTCTAAAACCTAAATAAATTTGGGATGTTACAGGAGTTTTAGGAGTTTCCTAGAGCACGAGAGGATTTCCAAGGACTAAATCACAAAGTGAGGTTTTTTTGGAACCACGAGATAGGCAAGCTAGAGATCTGATGAAGTCTCAAGGGCTCGAGTTATAGGAATTAGAGATGATTAAGGGCTAAAGGTTGTGTTGGGAACTTCAATGAGATTATTCTTGAGGCTAAACTTGAGCAGCGACTAATCACAAATTTGGAAAGCTTTAGGCCAGAAAGGACAATGGTAGAAAGTACGCTCGAAAATTCTAGAAAATTTCAAAAACTAGGAAATGAGGTTCCAAGACCCTTACAAAGCTAAAACTGACGAGAATACCCCTAAAGCAAATTGATGAAATTTCCAGGGTTTCGGCTAATTATAAATATTAGGCAAAATTGAATTATTTAAAATGTGAGGAGGGCTCAGATAATTGGAAACAAAAGGGGAAATAAATACTTGAGGAATGATCATAGGTTTTAAAAATGATTTCATCCCCAAAAGCGAATAGAGAGAATTCCTCGTAATAAAAAGGTAGTATTGGTACCTAGAGACAAATTCTCAGAGTTATATACTAATAGAGAGAATTAGGTCAGGTTACTCAGAAGTAAATATTATTAAATGTTTTAATGAAAGAATAAAGGGAAGAGCATCCCTCCCTCTTATGCATGTTATATAATGCCATGTGAAGTTATTGATGATTAAAAAGTGTGCCAGTCCCAAGGTTAT